TTATTTATTTATTTATTTATTTATTTATTTATTTATTTATTCGTTTATTTATTTATTTATCTATTTATTTATTTATTTAAAATTCTATTAGCACTTGTGTTTTGTCTTACTAATTATAGCCATTACCTGTGTGATGAATTATTTTTTTTAAATGAATTTGCATGCAAAATCAAATGTGACTCGTTAAAAACAAAGTATTACGTTGCTGTATTTCAAGTTTTTTTCAAAAATCCATCAGTCATAGTTAAAGTTTCTTCTAAACTTTGCATTCATCTCATTTCACTCTTCCTTGCCAACTTCCATTGCTAACTGATCTTTTGTCTATTCACAAGGAGAGTTCATTTTTTTTTTCATATTTAATTTATTTGAAAGCACTCATTTGCTTTTAGCACATAATTAATAATTCAATTTAAGAAATGATTGTTTAATTTTGAAGATTATATTCATTCTGTAATACATTATTTTCTTTATTAATTATATGCATTTATTAAAATTTGTGCGCAAATTAATAACGAAAGTATATACTTTTTGTGTAGTAATAATAAATATGTCGATAAATTAAGAATGGTAATAAATAAAAGTGTGATGCTCGGAACATAATTTAAATAAAATATACTTTTAAGAAGATTTCCAGTACAATATCATATGAAAAAGAAAGTGCTCGGAATCTTTGTTTGCTTTTCATAATTAGCTATTTATTGAATCATTTATTTATATTTGCAATGAATGAAAAGAAACGGAAAATGTAATAAATAAAAGACGTTTATTTCAGTAAAACAATTATTGAAAAATTCAATTTTTTCCTTCCTCAATCTTCAAACTCCTTCAGCATGTCACATTAAGTTTTTGAACGTTTTTGAGTCTAAAATTTGATTGCATTTAATAAGTACGGAATTTTTTTCAAAATTCAATTAAGTTTGAACTCATAAAAATAGTGCTTTTTAGAAGTTTTCTAATTATGGATTCTAACTGCTCAGTAATATGTTAGAAGAAAAATGTTTCGGAAATAAATTTTTGCATTTTGTCACTTATAAAGACAGTTATGATAATTTCCATTTCTGAACTGTTCATACTCAATCATCAGCTCTAGCAAATGAATTTAGCATTTAGACTTAAACTACGCATTTTTTTGCATGCAACTTCGTTTCATTTCGTATAAATTTGAGTCAAATTGCTTTTTAAGTAAATCAGATCAAGCAAATAACTCAAATGTTACTTTTGAATTTTTAATAAAAATTTCGTTTTTCTGTAATATTTGTTACTTCAAACACAAATACTTTTGCAATTATTTTTAAATATTTTAGGCAATAATTTGGTGTAAAAAGTGGTTAAGTTAATTCTTCCTCAAATACTACTCTATTTGTATTTATTCATTGATTGCTACCAAATCCAATACTTGAATTCATCAACTATTTGCGGTGAAAAATGTCAAACAGTCGGAAAATGTCGCTATTTAATAGATGGAAGCAACAAACTAACAACGAACAATTGGAGGGTGTTAGTGAAGAAGAAGCGATAGAATATCGCGAAGCATTTAGGTTATTTGATAAGGTTAGTTTTGTTTCACTACTTCAAGTATATTGTATCAAACTTTTGATAATTTCTTGTGCAATATTCTAAATTTATCCCCTTTTCGATTGATTTGCAAGTATTGCCGATGTTCCAGTTATTAATTGTTGAATTTTCAGCAATTACATTATTTTTATGACATAACTTTGATACTGTCAGGATGTGATTAGCTTTTTTTTCTGATATATAACTTTGATAACTTTTGAATGATATCTTATCACTTTCTGACGTTTAACTTTAACTCACAAATCTTTTATCTCAGATGGAAAGTATAAAAGTAAACAGTTAAGTAATGTAAATGATAAGCTGTGATAACTTGTCAAGTCAATTTTTGACATTTCAGTGCTGCACATTGTAGGAAAGTGTAATCAAACTGAATCAGTTTTTTGCCTGTTAAAGCTAGCAAGTGCATGCCATTTAAGTTAGAGTGCTCATATATAAATCGTATAATGAATATATGCATTTTAGATGAACTGCTTTCTAAGAATGTAAATTCTTAAATAACAAGTTGAAAATATTTTAGCGCATTACGATTTTCATTTCTGAAAATTATTTGCATGTGTATGCATAAATAAATTCCACTTATTATAAAAATAACATATTTCTACCTTGTGAATATTTAAAGTTTTCCATCGAAAATTATTTGTTTATTTTTTCACATTTCAAAGAATGAACAAAAACTGAAATGCAGCACTGTATTATCTTCAGTCTATAATTATTTTTAACAAAATTTCTTCTTTTTAAAAACATTGTTAGTATTTGGTGATAATGCTTGATTATTCATCAAGCTTTCAGTATACAAAAGTTTCGGAATTTTCAGGATGGTAATGGATCAATATCTTCCAAAGAATTGGGTGTAGCGATGAGAACATTAGGACAAAATCCAACTGAACAAGAATTGTTAGATATGATCAATGAGGTTGATTTTGATGGTAGCGGTAGCATTGAATTCCCCGAGTTCTGCCAAATGATGAAAAGAATGAATAAAGTGAGCGAGCAGAAAACATTTCACTTGTTTTATTTTTTTTTTTGACAAAAAAAAATTCAGTGTTAAATTGCATCATTAGTCTCCTATTCGAACTGTATAATAATCGCACTAATTATTCAATTCTTTACTCACTCTAGCGCTTAATACTCAATAAATTTGATCAGAGATCAAATTTGTTCAAAATTGCACAGGTTCTTGCGCATTGTTCTTTGAGTATTGTTTCTTATATGAAATGATGACAGTAATTTTAAATCACTGATGCCAGAACTATTTAAAAAATAAGGTCTGATGTGATCATTGTTTTGATCTAATCATTTTTTAGAGAACAAAACCAATTCTTTACAGAGCAATTGCTGTTTATGTTACCGGCAATACTGTTATCTTAACTGTTGTCATTATTGTTATTACTATAACTATTAATGTTTTCACCACTATGATTACTATTTTTTTTAAATGAATGAGAAGCTCAAAATCAATATTAAAATGATATGCAACTGCAAAATTGAGTACGCATTGCTATTAGAGAAGTCAAAGTAAGGATTAAGCTTGCTATTCAGTTTCTTTCTAATGTTTGCATAAGTGTTTGTTGTCTCAAATGAGATAATTTTGTTAGGAAAACGATAGCGAAATGATTCGAGAAGCTTTCCGAGTATTTGATCGAGACGGAAATGGTTATATTACTGCTGAAGAATTCCGATACTTTATGACCCATATGGGAGAGCAATTCAGTGATGAAGAAGTAGATGAAATGATCGCTGAAGTTGACATCGATGGCGATGGGCAGGTCTTACTTTTAAATATTTTACAACTTGCTTTTTTAATTTAAAATTTTTTCAAATTAAATAAAAAGTTTGTTTTTGATGATTTTCTTTTCCATCAAATGAAGTTAGCTGATATATAATTTTATTTATTCACAAATGTAATAATATTTGTAGATAAATTACGAAGAGTTTGTGAAGATGATGACAAATACGTAACATCTTTCAATGACTAGCAAATATGCTCAACTTCATAAATTCATGGCATCGTGCATATCCAGTGCTGAAACTTTTTATACATTTTTTATTTTGACCTTGCTAATGTCTAATGCTATAAAGCTATTTTTCCAATATTCATTTCATGACAAAACTAAAGAATACTTCACATTTAAATTTTAAAAATAACGCAGATTTAAAGCAAAAATTACTGTCTGAAATGAACTTTTCATGCTTGTTTTCAACTTTAGCAAGTTCAAAACTATCCTAAAATGCACTTCATCTATTTTATATGTCTATAAAAACAGCAAATAGCTATCAGTATCTGGCAATTCTAAATCTACTGATGCCATTAACTTTCATATTAACTTCAAGTCGTTTTGCATTTCGTCTCTTGGGACCTAAATAATGATGATATTCGTTCAACTGCATAAATTGTAATTAGTGTACTTGCATAAATTTTCTTATCAAAGAACTAAAATATCACCTTTTCATCGCGCGCATTAACTACTTTTTTTGTTTTAAAACATTTATTTATAATAATTTTTGAAAAAATAGAGAAAAAACTTACATCCTTATTTTACTTTGTATAAAGTTCTATTTCAGCAGTATAAAAGTTCTTGAAATAACTTCTTACTTTAAACTGCATAAAATTGTTAATTAGCTTTATTGCGAAAATAACCCTATTTTTATACATTTTATTTGATACATTCCCTGCAAGTTTATTTCTTTATTTATATATTAAAATAGAGCAGCTATGAGGAATTAATAACCGAGACTACAAGTTTTACGAAGATACAATGGGTTATTTTCTTTCGTGTTTATAATATTAATAAGAAAAAAATAATTGAATACCAACGATCTCTCTTTGTATTTGATATAGCTTTTTTGCGTATACTACTTGATTTGCTTCTACTTTTGCTCATATTTAATCAGTAATTAAAATTTTGTATTAAAAAATATTAATTGTTAGAGGCAAATACTGAAATTGCATCAGTAATTACTGATTTTTCAAGCAATCCATTTCTGAAATTGTTCAATAAGAAAAATACGAAAAATTTTTTAGTTAAAGCAACAAATTAAAAAAATCATTCATGTATACAAGTAATATTGCAAGATGAAAAACGCTTATTTAGATATAATAATTTTGTGCACCAAAAATATGACATAAACTTTGAGATGAAAATGAAATTGTTAGTCTTGCAGTTAGAATTGCCTGCTATATAAAAATTAGACTAATACATTACAAATACTTGAATTTTGAATTAATCAATAATTATCAAAGCAGTAAAATGAAATGAAATTTTTATCTATATTAATTGAGTTCAAATCGAGACCTGCAATTTTTTTTGTAAAATAAGGAAAGAATTTAGTAGTTTGAAAATTTATGATAATAGAAAAAGGCAACGGTCTGTTTATGATTATTAGTATGGATTACAATATCTCAGCATGAAATTACTGAAATTAAAAGTAAGCATTTGAAGTTAGAGTATTTGAATGCCATTAATTTCTACATCTCCTTGAATTTGCACTCCAACTATATCGTTCGAATTTGAGCGATGAGCAAATGTTGTAAATCGTTCACCGTTCACAAATATCTTCAAAATAAATTAATGAATTACTTCTACTTTATATCAGACATTTTGAAATCAATTAATATAATTTTAAAATTTATTAGACACGAATAAAAATTTAAAAAAAAAGGGAATTATTGTGACTTGCAATAATGATTTTAGGCAAATTCTTTAAAAAGTATTTATGCTAAAGTAAAATTACTGGAATTTACTATTTCCGATTTATTTGCAAGAGTTAATTTATTTCCTCTTCAACAATATACATTTTAATAACTCATAAAAATATAAAAACATACTTGTAATGCGTAATCTTCATTGTGTAATTGCAAGTCAAACATTTTATCCTTCTGAAATGGAATCTTACCTTCCCGTTCTTCTTTGCCCCAAGCACCACTGAGGAAAGCATTTCGAACCACAATCTAATGAAAGTCTTGTTGTTTTTTGACGTAAATAAAGAAGAAAAAAAACCACAAAACCCACTTTTTAATAATGATATATTCAGTACTTAACGGATTACTGATCAGAAAAAAATGAATATGTATATTTTCCTTTGGATCAGCTATTGTGCAATTATTTCAACTTATGGGAAAATTAAAGATGACTTCTTGATAAAATTTTGAAATTGTTTAATATTTTGTCTCTGAGAGCTCTATAAAATTCTACAGTAATGTAAAATGCAATAAATCTTTCTTTGCATCAAAAATGAAATGAAGAAACGGATAAGATAAATAACAGTACAAAAAAGAAGCACAATTAACATAAATAATCATTTTATATCCTTTCTGGTATCAATACATTTGTACGATAAAATTTATAACAGACATGAAATATATCATTGAAAATTTTATATCGTGTTTTATAATTTAATTATAAAAATAATGAAAGAGGAAAATTCAAGCCTTTTCGTCAAATCGTGGGTTGAAATGTAACGCTATGTCACCATTTGATTTAAGCAAATTGATGTTAAATCGTTTGCCACGTTTTTCAGGAATTCCAGTAATATTTAACGATCTACCAGGCAATAGGCCACCGTCCACTATACCGGACTCATACGGAACCGGCTAAATTTGAAAATGAATCGTATTATGTTGACGTTTTCTTCTCTTGATTTATTTTCAAGTTTACAAAAGTTTTCCTAAAATCACTGAAATTTGTGAAAATCTTTCATTTTCACTAGAAAATAGCTATAACTCTATAATTCTGAGTAGCGTCTTGCAGAATAAATTACTTCAAATTTTTATCGACTGATCGTTTTAACAGCATCCTTTAATCATCATTTCTGCGATATAAATTATTATTTAATGCTTTTCATATATTAAAAAGTGAAAATTTTGAGATTTATCTCTATAGTAACTTCATTTTAAGATTTCTAGCATTTCCAAATTATACTTTACTAAGATGAAAGTTTTAAATTAATATTTGTTCTAATAACACGTTCAAATTTTATTTTATTTATTTATTTTTTCATTTTCTACTGTTATTTTCTCTTTTATGTTCCTCAATAAAGCTGCTTTTTATTTTCAAATTTTTATTTTGAAAGTATAAAATGAAATGTAAGCTTACATAATATTTGCCTCCCCATTGTACGTGGTCAACGAGAGCATCTCCATCAATGGTCAGATATGTTGCCCATTGTAGTGGTACACGATAATCAAATTCTTTCACTTCTTTCTGTGTTATTGATGTTAAATATTGTTGCGCATTATAACGATTACTTTTTCATACTTTCTATTTCATATCAACTAATTAACACGTTTTTTTTTAAATGATAAAATATATAACTGCAACTTACACCATCGCAATAAACAACAAATTTGCTTTCATGTGCTCGAATTCTTATATCAAATTTATGTCCTTTTTTAAACGGCAACTTTTGTTTCTCTTCTTTGCCCCAAGTACCATTCGAGAAAGTATTAAATATCATCTGTAATTGCAAATTTGCATTGTTCTACTTAATAGTCTTATTTTCTGCAAATTATTATGCATAACTTTTAATAGTAACGAGAACTTGGCAAAAAAATATAAAATCTTAAAAACGAATAAATTTAAACGAAATTTTCAGTAAAATTTGTATGAAAATAAGCAATTACAGCAAGAAATATATGAATAGACAAAGTTTTCAAAAATAATTAAGCCATACAAAACATTAAAAATCTTCTTTTAATAAAAAAAAAGTTAAATAATTAATTTTATAATATTCAACCTTTCCACTGCTAAAACGTATATTAATATGCAATGGAATATCTCCACCATTGAAATCTGGACTGTTTCGGGAGAGACCCAAACTAAATCTAAAAATTGTATGTTTATAAATGATTGTTTATATTATTTATTCTATCCTTTCCTTTTTTTTTCTAAAAAAGTGTGCGAGCTAAAATTTTTGCTAAAGTAATTACTGAAAACAGACCCTTTTGCATCATCCAATGTCCTCCCTTTTACAATCAAAGTCTGACCAGGTGCAATTCGTTCCGTTAAAATACTCCGATAAGGAAGTTCCTAAAAAAGTTCTTATTTATTTGATATATAAAAATAAATTAGAAAAAGTGAAGTATTACTTGTTTAAAAATTTGCTTTCAGTTATTTGATCAAAAACAAAATTTTTTTTGATATCATACATCTTATACTTTCTCACGATACAACGTATCATCAAATTTTTTCGTCAAAAAAATATCTCCAAATTCACCTATTTGCTAAGTGTAACCAAATATTACAAAAGCAATGTATACAGTGATATTAACTCAATTAATAATTAAATAATTTTTCAGCCTATAAAATAAGCTTATAACATTATAGTTGCATCATATGATTTAAAAATTTGCATTTCATATTAGCACAATTCATGATGCAATCAAAG